GGGAAAGAGATTAGTTCAAAAGATCAGGGTTGAACGAAATAGTGCCTGCCATTTGCAGAGATGTGGATGGTCCTAGAGATTGTCATATAGAGTGAAATAAGTCAGAAAGAGAAAAACAAATATCGTATAATATCGCTTATATGTGAAAGCTAGAAAAATGGTACAGGTGCACTTATTTACAAAGCAGAAATAGAGTCACAGATGTAGAGAACAAACTTACGGTTACCAAAGAGGGAAGGGACGGATGGGATGAATTGGGAGATTGGGATTGACATATATACACTACTGTGTATAAAGTAGATGACTACAGAGAACCTAAAAAAAAAAAAAAAAGACCAGGGTTGATGTCTGCAACAGAACCCACTCCAAATATGGAGCTTGAGGGGAGGAACTTTCAGAAGCAGAGCTTACCTAGCCTGAGAGTGAAGTCACAGAAGTCGTAATATTTATGTGTAAAGCAGAATAAAGCAGAACTCTGTCCATAAAGCTACATGCGTGTTAGTTGTCTACGAAAGTTTTACAAGGGGAAGAAAGCAAGACCGAGATGATCTTCCCATGGGAAGAGATGCTCAGGGGTGAATGTCGTAAGAAGAGAGAGGGAATTCAGCTGCTGAGGAGAGAGGAAGATTTTGAGGCAAGAGACTGGACAGGGAAGCTTTCCTTTCTGATACACAAGACAATTGCCTCCTCTGTCTCTGTGGGAAATGTTCATCAAACTGACATACTTTCTCAAGGCAGTGGGGTTGTATGGGGCCAAGTTGAGACTGGCCTTAATAGGAGATAAAATGAACAAAGAAGATTCAACCACTTTGGGGTTACATTTCGTTGACCTTGGTTTTTACCTTTATTCTTCCTTTGAGTTGAAACTCAAAAATAGGCTATCTACTGAGGTGGTGCCGTTTTATACGGTCTTTCCCCCTAAATAAGACTGAGTAATGAAACCTTGTTCTTCCATTTTTGTCTGTTATTGAGATCAGGCCTGATGAGCCGTTTCCCTTTTGGTTTCCCCCCTTTCAGAATGGGCTTTAATTTACTGTTTTAAAAATTGCCCGGGCTTCTCTGGTGGCGCAAGTGGTTGAGAGTCCGCCTGCCGATGAAGGGGACGCGGGTTCGTGCCCCGGTCCGGGAAGATCCCACATGCCGCGGAGCGGCTGGGCCCGTGAGCCATGGCCGCTGAGCCTGCGTGTCCGGAGCCTGTGCTCCGCAACGGGAGAGGCCACAACAGTGAGAGGCCCGCGTACTGCAAAAAAAAAAAAAAAAAAAAAATCGCTCACACATTAAAAATTTGACATTTTAGTTGCCAATTTTTATTCATGATGGGTGGGATGAATTGGGAGATTGGGATTGACATATATACACTACTATATATGAAATAGATAACTAATGAGAACCTACTGTATAGCACAAGGAACTCTATTCGGTGCTCTGTGGTGACCTACATGGGAAGGAAATCCAAAAAAGAGGGGATATATGTATAAGTGTGGCTGATTCACTTTACTGTACAGCAGAAACTGACACAGAAGTGTAAAGCAGCTATACTCTAATAAAAAACAAACCCAAAAAACAAACAAAAAATTCACGATGAATATGCTAACAACACCACCAGTAACATCAATGCAATGAAAGTAGACCCTAACCTTTGGCATCTTTACTATGTGACAATTATAACTTAGTTTTCCCCGAGAGAAAATGTGCTGCCGCTCTGAGTGTGCTGGTAAACCAAGTTTCTGAGCCTCAAGAGCTGAGGCTGAGAATTAGGCTCAGGACTGTGGTGTCCCAAGGGAGAGATGTAGGTTGGAGAAATTGATATGAAAGTCATCAGCATCTTTGGCTAGTCTCCGGCACCTTGGAAGTGATGAAATTGCCCAGGTAGAGTATGTAGAATAGGAAGACAGAGCCTAGGACGGGGCACTGAGGAATGTCAGCATTCAAGGGGACAGGCAGCGGGGGACAATCGCACTAAGGAGGAGGAGGAAAAGTGGTGACACAAGGAAGGGGAAATCCAGGGATCCACTGAGCCAAGTCAAGAGAAGAGGATGTTCCAAGGAGGAGTGATGGACAGTGTCAAATGCCGCCAAGAACTCAAGTGAGAAAAGGACTGGGAAGTGGTTACTGGATGTAGCAATGAGAATGCCTCTGACCTTGGCCAGAACAGTCACAGTGCAGGCTGGTGGGTGCAGACCCCAGGAGTGAGTGGATGGTAAAGAAGTGGACTCA